ACTCTCAAGCACTGCGCCACCAGGGAAGCCCAGGCAGGTGGATTCTTAACCACTGCGCCACCAGGGAAGCCCTGAGCTTACTTTTAAGGCCTCTTTTATTCTATTTAATTTTATCTATTTATTTATTTATTTTTGGCTGTGTTGGGTCTTCGTTGCTGCGTGCGGGCTTTCTCTAGTTACGGCGAGCGGGGCTACTCTTCGTTGCAGAGCACGGACTTCTCATTGTGGTGCAGAGCATGGGCTCTAGGCGCGCGGGCTTCAGTAGTTGTGGCGCACGGGCTCTAGAGCGCAGGCTCAGTAGTTATGGCGCACGGGCTTAGTTGCTCCGCGGCATGTGGGATCTTCCCGGACCGGGGATCGGACCCACGTCCCCTGCATTGGCAGGTGGACTCTCAACCACTGCGCCGCCTCAGCAGGGTCTTGAGGACAGAAAGCCTTTTTCTGGTTAGAAGACACTATGAGTAGAGTCACTGCTGGGACTTGGGCTTCTGGGAGACGGGGGCTGGGGGTGGTGACCCCAAGGTCTAGCAGCTGACCGGGTGGGTCCCATAGACCCACGCTGGGTTTGGGCCCTGCAGGTACCGCTGTCTAGTGTCCCTCCAGCACAACCTGCCAGCCAACGGGGACATGTGTGTGTCCGTGCTGAGCCGCCTGTGCACGGTCACGCCAAACATGTACCGCGTCGGCATCAGCAAGGTAAGTCCCACTGGCACTCAGCCCCTGGGTGCCCCACGGCTGGAGCCTGTGCGCTCAGAAACGCTCAGGCTGCAGGCTACTGTCCCAGAGGCCATCCAGTTGAGCTGGTAAATGGATGCTTATCCTACCTCCGGACTTTTCCCAGCTGTTCCCACTGTCTAATTCACCATCCCGCCTTCCCCCGCCTCTCCAGACCCAGCACATCCTGCACCCTACTCCAGGGCTGCCTTGTCTGTCTGCCTCCATGGACTTCTGGAGAGGGAGGGGCCTCCAGGCAGTCACATGGCCTTCCCCTGCCTCAGTCCTTGCCTCCTTCCCTCAGCTGTTCCTGAAGGAGCACCTGCACCAGCTGCTGGAGGGCATGCGGGAGCACGTCCTGAACCTGGCAGCCCTCACGCTGCAGCGCTGCCTCCGCGGCTTCTTCATTCAGCGGCGTTTCCGCTCCCTGCGCCGCAAGATTATCTTGCTGCAGAGCCGGGCCCGTGGCTACCTGGCCAGGTGTGGCCCAGAGAGGGCAGGACTCCCTGGAGTCCAACAGCTAGGCTCTGGGAAGGCCGAGCCTGAACTTGGGTAGTGAGCTCCCTGTTCCTGGAGGCATGCAAGCTGAGAGTAGGGCCTCTGCAGGAAGGGTGATCAGACTCTCTGTGTCTCTGCTTTTGGATGTCCTTCCCTCCCACCCCCTGGTCCTTGTGACCAGTGGGTGGGAATCCCTCCAGCCAAGAGGGCCCCCCTCCCCGGCATGTCCCATACCCCCTGGCATGTCCCATACCTTGGGACTACAACCTGATTGCAGGTACATGGTCCAGACGGTTTAATCTAGGTCCTGCCACTCAGGTTGTCGTGTGACCTTGGCCAGGTCACTGCCCCGCTCCGAGATTGTTTCCCTTTGCACAGAGGTCCCCGGAGTGAAGTGTGGGCACTGATACCCAAGCAAGGCGGGTGTGGGCGTCTCTGCCCCTTGGTCACTCATGACCCCTGCCCCGAAACCCCCCTACCCAGACCCTTCTTTCCTCCCCACCCCCAGGCAGCGGTATCAGCAGATGAGGAGGCGTCTGGTGAAGTTCCGGGCCCTGGTGCACACGTGCACAAGCCACCAGCGTCACCTCAAGGTGCTGCAGGCCTGCCGCTCGCCCTCCTCCCAGGAGCCGGGCCTGCCCCGTCGGGCTCCGGGGGTGGGGTGGGGGCAGCAGGAACGGGGAGGAAGCACTTGGCCCCCAGGCGGAGACTGTTGGCCGGGGCGGGCTTGGGTTCGAATCCCCACTGGGCCCTCTGTAGCCGCGATCTCCCCACCCACCCCTTGGGGAGGCTGCATGGGAAGGGTGTGGCTAGTGCGGGGCTCACGGCAGGGGCCCCAGTAACCGGGCCTGATTAGAATTTGGCGACCTGAACAGCACCGGCTCTGGTGGTGCTCTTGCCTTCGTGCCAGCCTTGGCTTATTGCTGTATAACCCACCGCCAGACAGACAGACATAACCCCAAAGCCCCGCGGAGCTGCGCCTTTACTGGAGGTTCTGTGGGCGCTGGGGAGGGGCTCTGTCACACGTCTCTCTGGTACTTCCCAGAAATCCTGTGCGTCTCTCCTTCCCCGCAGTGTCACTCTGAGCTCTCTGCCTGTGTCTCTCTCGCTGTCTTTTCCCACACCCCATTTCTCTGGCCGCGCCTCTGCCCCCCGTCTGTGAGGTGGGCCTGGGGCCGTCGCCTCTGCCCACCGCTGCCCACCCTGACCATCTGCTCTCCTGCAGCCGAGGGCGGAGCGGAGGCTCTGGGTGGCGGAGGTGCGGCTACGGGGGCAGGAGATGGGTGCGGGGTCCGGGTGGCTGCAGGGGACAGGAAGGGAGGCCGGCAGGTGCGGGAGCAGCAGGCCTGTTTCCTCACCCTGTGCCGTCCCCCCAGGAGCTAAGCAAGCGGCAGGTGGTGGCTGTGGGGCACCTGGAGGTCCCAGGGGAGCTGGCTGAGCTCTTGCGAGCAGTGGCAGGTACATTGGCGCCAGGCGGTGTGGTGGGAGCGGGTGCGCAAGGCGACCAGGCCCCTCATGGCCTCCTCTGTCCACAGGCCTCAGGACGGGCCAGATGCCCCGGGTGGCCCCCGTGCGGACTCCTCGTCTTCAGGCTGAGTCCCGGGTCACGCTGCCCCTGGATATCAACAACTACCCCATGGCCAAGTTTGTCCGGTGCCACTTCAAGGTAAGGGCTGGCAGAGGTCCAGTTAGAACTGGCACTGTTCTCAGCCTGGGGCTGGCTCCTGGCCACCCCCTGTGGGATCAGGTATGAGCCTTTCAGTTGCTGGACCTGTGTCGTGAGGAGTCCGGGGTCTCCAGGGGCCCTGGATAGCAGTGGAGGGCCCTCGGGGGCTCGGGAGGTGGCTGTTTGGAAACATTTCAGAACTGTAACGAGTGGTGGATCCATAGCACATCATCCCTGCTCCTTATTTCCTGCCCTGCGAGGGGGCCTCATGGGGGCTCTGTCACCGAGATGCTGGTGTCTGCCCCTCTGTAAGCCGGTTACCTGTCTGCACGCTGGGGACCTGTGTTTCCCAGGCTGGTGTGCCCCAACCTGGCCCAGAGCAGTGGATCCAGACGCGTCCGTCTGTCCCAGCTCTGTGCCCACGTGCCTGCCCTGTGCCCCCAGGAACCTGCCTTTGGGATGCTGGCAGCGCCCCTGAGGACGCCCCTCACACGGCTGCCGGCGGAGTATCATGCAGAGGCTGTGGGCACCTTCAAGCTGGTACGGGTCTGCCTAGACCACCTTCGGATTCATAGCCCCTGCCCCCGAGGCCAGACGGCAAGGCCCCTCGCCCTGCCCTCCTGGACCCTCTACTAGCCCAAGCCATGAGCCTGGGAGGGATGTGGTCGGATATGCACATTAGAAATTACCATCTGAGGCATGGAATGTGCAGGAGGTGAGGGGCCTCCTGGAGGCGGGG